ATGTACTTCTAAGTACTCTAGGAGTTTATATTGATACAGGTAAACTGATCCGTCAAGCAACAAGCATTTATTAAACACCTAAGTCAGGCAGTGGGCTAGGCACTTGTCATAAGAATACAAAGCCAAAATAAGAGAGGTCCTCAAGGAGCTAGTGTTCTATTCAGGGAACATAAATGACAAATAACATAATAATCTTAGGAGGAAGGAGAGTGCATTAATTACCAAGGAGATAAGGAAAGGCTTTTCAAAGAAGGTATCACCATAAACTGGGCCTTGAATGAACTTAGGGATTCTAAGAAGTAGAAATGAGGTCAAAGTGCATTCTAGGTATAGGGGTGGAAGGATGGCTCATACAAAGCCATAGAGGCAGAACATGGAATGCCAAGTTTTGGGAATAGCAGGTAAACCAGTTTGGCTGGAATTCAGAGCATATACAGGCAGTCGAGTGTTGGTTAAGCAGCCAGATGATCTGGGTTTAAATCCTAATTTTGATGCTTATCTCCTGTGTGAATTTGGGCAGGTCAGCCTTTCTGGGCCTCTTTTTTTTCCTCTGTAACAAGAGGCAATGGCCACTGAGGTTTCTTCTAGCTCTAGACTGATTTTCCTATCTATGAACCAATAATAAAAAATGTGAAATAAGCAAACCAGAGCCAGTTTGTTAAGGGTTTTAAATGCCAAGCTGAGGAATTTCTACTTTTATCTTAGAGTAAGTAGGGAGTTACAGAAGGTTCATGAACCAAATAATCATAAATCACCACTAATTCCTACATAAGGACTCCTACAGGTGGCATATTGCCTTAGTTTTAAAATATAACATGCTGCATGTTTTATTGTATCTTTATTTGTTTTGTTAATTATTTCCCAATTACATTTTAATCTGGTGGCAGCCTGTTTGACATTTCTGCCATGTAGTTCTGTAATTCACAAAATCATTTCATGTATTTGTTATGTAATTTTTTTCTCCCAACAGCCTAAAGGTAGACAGGACAGATATTGTTATTCATATTTTACAGATAAAGAAGTTTAAGCTCAAAAAGGAAAAGTGAAAAAGTGGTAGATGGTAGATCCTTTTCTCCTAACTCCAAATTAGTGCCTTTGGGAACCTGATCCCTGGAATCTGACTCTTTTGTCTAATGTTTGAGATGGGGAGGGTTGGCTGGCACCTTGACCCTTTTTGAGCAGTCCTTCATGGGTGCATGTATGTTTACTTCTATATTTCTGGGATCCAGGACTCCACTGGTATGAGTATAATGACCCTTTCCACTGACACCAATCACAATTCTTTTCCTTACACCTTATGTCATGAGATCCTATGGCTAAAAAAAAATCCATCATCTTTTTGGGCCATGATCTTCTCCACTTAGCAAGGCTGGTCCTTAGATGATCATGAAGCGCAGGACTCAAAACCTTTCCACCTGTAGGTGACCTGCCATAGTGAAGCTCGCACTTCACTGGCAGAGTTTTTGAGAAACCAAGATCACTTTGATGTAACAGTAAGGCATCAGGGTAAGACTTTAGTGTAGCATCCACCACAGACACTTACTTGCTGTGTGATTCTAGGCAAGTCACTTTACCCTATTTGCCTACATTTCCTCATCTGTAAAATGAACTGGAGAAGAAAATGGCAAACCAATCTAGTATCTTTGCCAAGAAAACCCCAGATGGGGTCCCAAGACATGACCAAAACAAATGAAGAGCAACAACCACCACTATTGTCATTACACACACACACACACACACACACACACACACACATATATACACACACTGGGCTTTTAGTGGATTAAGGGGTCAATTTAGCCACTCTAAGGATCATGGATCTGAAGCTGAAAGGGACCTCAGAAGCCATCTAAATCCAATTCCCTCCTTCTACAGCCGAGGAAACTGAAGCCCATGTAGAGTTAAGTGATATTCCCCAAGGTTATACAGGTAAGGCCATAGGGTAGATTTGAACTCAGAGCCAAAGCTCTTTCCATTGTACTGCTGAAACACTTGCTATTGTTTGTCCTTCATTCTTTTTTTTTTTGACTAGGCAATGGGGTTAAGTGACTTGCCCAGGGTCACACAGCTAGTAAGTGTTATGTGTCTGAGGCTGGATTTGAACTCAGGTCCTCCTGAATCCAGGGCCGGTGCTCTATCCACTGCGCCACCTAGCTGCTCCTGTTTGTCCTTCATTCTTGAAGGGGACCATGACATCAGGAAGGTGATGCCATAACTTGCAAGTGACTTGGATTTAAGTGAGGGAGGGCTGTGCAGAGTCACCAGCCTCACTTTCTCCTCTGGAGCCATCTGGGTCCGGTGGCAAGATATAGATCAGGACAACTGGAGATGGCTCCCAGCTGGAAGGCTTAGACTTAGAATGTGAGAACTGCCCTACCCTTACTTCCTTGGGTTAACCCTCTAATCATCTAGCCCAGGAGTCTATGAAGGGTGCACTGAGAGAGAGCATAACTGTCCTCCTTGACAGCAGCCTCAAAGATTATTTATGAATGTGTCCCAAATATCTAGTTTCTCTAAAGAAATCACTATGGATTATTTTATCTAAAGATTTCTTAGAATTGTCTTTGTCCAATATGAACACGCGGGATAACTAAATCAAGAATTTGTCATTTCCTGCTGCAGGTTACCTTGTAAAGTGGTCCTCCAGGTATGAAATGCACTTCTTCAACTCTACCCCTGGCTTCCTTCAAAGGACAGCTCGCATGTCACTTCTTACACAGACCTTTCCTAGTTTCTCTCCCCAGGCTGTTCGCATTCCAGAATTCTCTCCCTTCTTGAAGTTATTTTGTATTGTTTTGTACATATATCGTATTTATTTGCTCACCAACATTTTGTATTCCCTGCCCACTCCCCCCATTTTGAATGTAGCTTCCTAAAGGTCATAACTGTCTCATTTTGGTCTCCAGATCTCCTCCTCTTAGCACCTGGCACACATTAGGTGCTTACTAAATGTTTATTGAAATGAATTGGATTTCCTGCCTCTTCCTTTGCCCTCATTGCTTTTTTTCTCTAAAAGACCCCCCTGCCCCTCCCCCTTTCAGAATGCTATTCATTCTTCAAGGACTAGCCCAAGTCTCTCCTTTTCCATAGAGATTCCTGACTATTCCATTCTGTGGTAATTATAGCACCATGGCAGCTGTCATGATATGTTGCCTTGCATTATTATTACCTTTTTACTGGTGTCTTCCCAACTAAACTGTATCTTATATTGTCTACCTTCCACCTCAGAGGACAGTGTAAGATGCTTAACATATAGATCACAGAGTTGAATGGGTCACTCTTATACCTGTGCTCTGACCCTCTAAGTTTGGTAACATTTGCTCTGAATAAGACCTAAGGACTCTACAATGAGGTGGGGGGTGGGGGTAGGGATGGTTGGTTAGGGGGAGTTAGTCTCATATATACACAATATGCATACATATTTATACATATATACATATATATGCACATACGTTACATTTGTATAGCACATTACCATTTAGAAAGCACTTTAACCTATACTGTCTCTTGATTTAAAAGCCCTGTGAAATAGGCACGATTATCTACATTTCATAGATAATGAAATAGGAGCAGTTTTCTTTAGTGACTGGCCCAAGGTTACACAAAGAGTAAGCTGCAACCTGAGTCTTCTGCTCTTTTGGTTAATATTCTTTCCACTATATTACCATTCTTCAACTGTTGTTCCATTACTCAATTTACTTCAGTTCAGTCTCAATCTCACATTAGAACACTATTCCTGTTGGTCCAAAGACCCTGTGTGTTTCCAGGTTTGTAACTTTCCCACCTTAAATTCGACCACCTCTAGAATGAAAAACGATTAGGTACTTCCTGACTTAGCTGAGTTAGCCAAGGGTTGGTATGAAGTCCTAATTTTCCTGGCACCCTCTGGATACAGGGAATCGTTCCTACACACTTAAGAGCCTCACTGCACTGCCCCAGTTTCAAACGAGGACAAAGCAGGGTTTGCTTAGCGGCAGGGTAAAGGGGCTGGAGCATCCGCTACATCTGTCTTCTTCGGGCTCCAGCTCTCCCACCTCCTCTCTTTGTTATTGTGCTGGAGCAATGCTGCCCATGGAATCCCTCCGTTCTACATAAACAGGAAATCGCATGTGCTTGATTGTAAACACTGTGCGCCTTTCTCAGCGTTTCTGCCATGCTGGCTGGAGTCCCAGAACCAGGACCACGTGACTACAACCCCCACGGCCCCCAGCTCTGTTCCCACCTCTGCCATAAATTCATTGGGAGCACCAGATTTGTTTACCTTATTTGGTAAGGTACTAACACCCCGTTGCTTTTCATTGGAGGAGTCCATACTCACTCATTTGACATCATTCCTAACAGAACTATGCAAATAAACAAAGGGTTTCTGGGATGTGTAGTCTAGGAAATTGCTCTTGAAATTGCTACCCATGTAGCTGCAGCCGGGCTTTAGGCACTGCAGTGACGGGAGGACAGGGGAAAAAAAGGAAGTGGGGTTTGGATTCTCAGAAACAATGTCTTTTTTTTCCACAAAAGATTTTGCTTGAAAAAACGAGGGCGATGGCGGGGGGGGAGAACCCAGGGTTTGTGTATTAAAGGGATGGCATGGGAATGGAGGGCTAAGACGAGTAATGATACATAATCACAGCATCAAGCGTTCCGCAATTTGTTGGGTTTTCCGAGGCCCAAGATCATCAAGTAAATTCTCCCGGCCAATTGTGTCACTCAAACCCTACCCCCAGAAATACCGTAGTTCCAGAGGAACAGGGGAAGAAAACCTCTCCAGAACTGAAAGCCCAAGTCCAGCCATTTCGGATGTAAATCACTCTTTTGTCTAGTTAGGTGGTGATTCAAATCAGAGCTAGACGATCCGGGAGCGCAGCTAGGGAGTCAGCCCAAACAACTCTGGAGCAGAGAGGAGCGGGGTTCCGTCTATTTACTTGGACTAAGGGAGTGGGGTGGGTGAGTGAGTGGGGGGTCCGCCCAAGAAGACTACAGCTCCCAGCATTCCTGCTCAGTCTCCTCCCCGTTTCTGTCCATCAGAGAGGCAAGGCTCGGTGAGTCAGTACCCTACAGTAAATATTTGTATTAGCAAGAGCCGGCTCTGTAATGGTGGATCTGTAAAGGAGAGCCAGGGAGCCGGAGAGCCCAGCCTTCGCCCAGAGACTCCTCTCGTTGTCTGGCCGGGGAGCGAGCGGATCTGACTTGGCACCATGTCGGTGAACATGGACGAGCTGAAGCACCAGGTCATGATCAATCAGTTCGTGCTGACTGCGGGGTGCGCCGCGGACCAGGCGAAGCAGCTTCTTCAGGCGGCACATTGGCAATTCGAGGTGAGTCCTCTCGTGTGTGTGGTGTGTGTGTGTGTGTGTGTTCTATGTGTGTGTCTGTGTCTGTGTCTGTGTCTGTGTATCTGTGTGCCTCTGCGTGTATATGTGTCTCTTAGCCCTCTGGCGCGCGTGTGCTTGCACAAGCTGAGACCGGCTTGTGTGTGTATATATAATGTGTGTGTGTGTGCACTGCCATGTTTTGCGTCCAACAAACTCAGCCACGTTTTCCAATAGGCTCGTGCACATTTATGCATCCAAACATCCATACACACTCCACCGACGCCGACTGCATTTATAAAATGGTGCGGTTCACAACTGCGGCGGGGCCTCGAGGTTTTGCAGCCGCACAGCTCACGCCGCAGCTTGTAAGAGTAACCGCGTCGTCTGTCGGTCAGTGGGGTCTGTACGCCCGTTGTCTGGGAATCGCTCACGGGGTTGTCTGCCTCGATCCCCCCCCCCGCCCCTTCCCCATGTGCACCGTTTATTCGCACATCCCATCAGTGGCACAGTCGGGCTCAGACCAGATAACCTGAGATGGCAGAGCCAGGGGGGTTGCAGCGGCCCAAGAAGCCCTCCTCGACGGCACTCACTGAGGACGCTGCCTCTTCAGCTGCAGATTCGGGAGAGGGGGCTTCCTGGGCCTCAGTTTCCTCCTCTGTAAAATGGTGGAGGACGAGAAGAGGTGGACTAGATGGACACCAAGGCTCCTTTCAACTCTAGATCTGTGATCGTGAGACAAGGCGGAAAACCTCGGGTCCCCTATAAGGAGGGAGAATTCTAGGACCAAGAACCTCTTCCTGTCCACCTCCTCCCCTAGCCCTTCCCTGACTTCCCCGGGGAAATGGTGTCTAGGCTGGCCGGCTCGGCCCAGGATCCGCCATGTCCAGCGGGGAGGGAAGGCCATTGGTTTCTTCCTTTTCTCCAGTGAGTCAGAGCGGCACTGCTCCGCAAGGCCTCGCTGTGCAGACCGGGCGAGCCAGGGCCAAGGCTCCTGCTTTGGGGAGGTGCTTGCTGTGCAGCCCGAGGGCAGATGGGCTCTGCGGCTGAGGTCATTTCTTCCAACAGAGGTGGAGGGATTTGAGGTTACCACCACCACCACCACCACCATCATCAACACCACCACCATCGCCACCAAACACGCTTCTTTTGTTCACCTAAAGCTAACGGGCCCCTACCCCCTCCAGCGCAGCTGTCAGGGCGAGCCAGAGGGCTAGGGGCCAACGCCAGTGGATGGACAGGGCGGGCGGAAATGAGAATCTGGTGCCAAGTGGGTTACACTGGCTCTCTGGGGAGAGTGACACTGTAGCGTGACCCTCCCCCTTCAGCTTCTCTGGCCTGGGTCTGGGTGCGGAAACGGAGCCACTGGGGAAGGAGGAAGGAGGCGGAGCATGCTTGGGTCCGGAGGCCCCCATGGGCCTAGGAGCACAGTGGAGAAGGGGGAGGGGTTGGGGGATGGGGATGGGGTGGGTTATGTGGTAGGAAGCCTCAGCTGGCTTGAATTGAGATTCCCTTTCTTTCTTCCACTTTCCAAAACTCCGGGTACAGGGTAGACATCCAGATCCTCCAGCCCTGGCCCTTGCCGTCCTGAACCTTGTGGGATCTTTTTGAGCCCAGCTGTACTAGGAGTGGCACTAACCAAGTGGTAAATCCCAAGGCTGGGGAGCTTCCTTTGGAGACTGGGGAAAAGGAGTCCCAGGCAGTGGGACAGCAGGAGTGCCACCTGGTGTCTGTTTGTACACATACAGTGCGGTGTACTTTCATGTATACATGAATTGTACAGTGCAGTGTCTCTGTGTCTGGATTCAGATGCAGTAAGATACAGTGAATGCATATATAGACACATGGACTACTCTGCAATGTATTTATGTTTACACATACAGCACAGTACAGTGTATGTGTGGCACCAGTATTACTATGTGTATGCCTGTGTACACACATAGTTGACTCCAGTATATGCCTACCTTGGTAGTCTGGTGTACTTGGGGTATTTCTCCTTGATCATTTTGCCCTGCCTGTGGTCCTGATGTTCTTCAAAACCTGAGCCCTAGAGCTAACTAGTCTCGTTGGGTCTCTCATGTTAATGCTGCCATTGTCTTTCTGGCCAAAGGGAAACCTGGCCCTTTCCCAAGTGGTACTTCCCAAGCCAATTGTTATTGGCTTTACTAACAAGGCTGGGCACTGGATCAGTTAAGGGGATTATTATTTAATATAGACTGATGAGGACTGGGATAAACTACCTGACTTTTTGGGTTGTGCTGGGGCCTGTGATTACACCTAGGTCCTAACTCTTCTAAACTCTAGGGCCCTCCTGGCTTGAGGACTCAAGATGACCTCTGAAGATGTTTTATTTAAAATGAGTTTGGAGCCTAATGTTTGGGTTAGAAACATTATTCCATGGGGAGGCACAGCGCCCCACGCTTAGTGGATACTTTATATAGATTGTTGTATATTTTCCCTGCCCTGTACAACCAACCAGGAGAGAACAATGGGCAGGAACTCACATTCTCAAAGTGAGGTGGAGAAAGCTAGATTCCTGAACCAACTCTGAAATTAGCTAGGTGCCTTTGGAACCACCCTGTGTCTCTGTAAAATGGGGGCAAAGATACTGAAAAAAAAAAACCCTTGATATACTAGGCATAAAAACATGGCAGTATTAATCTTCACAGTAGTTCATAATTTGAAGCCTCAGTGCTGCTCTATCTGAAGCCCTTTAGCTTATAGGGCTCCCGAGATAATGAGAGAGGGGGAGTTGGAACCACATCCTGGGCCTCCCTGTGTTGGAAGGGGCCTGCTCTGCCTTAGAAAACATTCTGCCTGAGAAAGAAATCCTAGGAAATTTTCATCTCCTTCAGTGTACCTAAATGGGCTGGGTGACATGTTGGACACAGACGGGGAATTTAGCTTCCATAGGCAGACAACATGTAACATTTAAAATGTCTTTGAGAGCTGCCTGTCAGAGAGGCAAAATACTAGATAGCCCTTTAATCCTGATTGTCAGGGTAATTGGCCAATCACAAATAATGGAACCACCCCCCCACCCCCTAACCTCCCCCAATGTACTTCCATATGCAAATACCATACTTTTCGCCCAGGGGCTGTGTTTGGGGCTGAACACAGAAGGCTTATTAATCCTTTCAGCCCAGAAAGACTGTTTCTCAATCTTGTTCAGCCTAGTAAGGGAGATACTGCAGAGATGGATAAGGGAAGGAAGAAAGATCTCAGCCTTCTCAGCTAACCATCTGTTCAACCCCACCCTCCACCCACTTATATACATGTACAGTGAATTGAATTTCCTGAGTAACTGAAGAGAGTGACCCCAAAATCCTTTCTGTTCCAACCCTTATTGTTAAGAATCTAACTTGCCTAAGTCTCCCTTCCTGTCTTAATGAGCAAAATCTGGTGACCAGAATAGAATATTTCATTTGCTAAGGGAGTATTCTACAGGCCCTGCTTTAGACTATTCTGAGCATTGTTGGGCTTGGAGATGGAGGAAAGGAAAGTGTAGGAACAGCTGTGGCGTAGTGAATTTGATTGAGAACTTAGATTCAGTCTCTACCCTGCTACTTCATAAGATATGTGACGTGGGCTAAGTTGCTTAATTAACCTCTCCGTGACTTAGTTTCCTTATCTGAAAATTGGGCCTAATGACACCTGTACTACTTGCCTCACAGGGCTGTTATGAAGATTGAATAAGTTAATATATATGCAAAGTGTTCTTGCAAGACATAAAGTGCTATAAAAAATGTCCACTTTGATTATTGGGATTGGACTGAGTGTAGACTCCCCACACCCCTTATGAACAACCCTGGGCATTTGTTTTGTGGGCCATATTCTTGGTCTTAGCTTTTGCTGAGCCACACCAAAGTAGAACTTTAGTTAATTAAAAGAGCCTTATTAATTGGATTCAGGTTCTTTACAATTTTTCTCTCAATACATGTGGCGAAGTGGAAGGAAAGTATTGCCCTTGGACTTTGAAATTCCATCACTTAGTGTTGGAATTATCTTATTAGCTGTGTGACTATGTCTGAGCCTCAGTTTCCTTATTTGTAAAAAGAGGGTGATAATACTTGTACAACCTACTTCTCCGGGTAGTTGTAAGGCTCAGAAGAACATGACAAAGTATTTTGTAATCTGTAAAGTGCTGAAGTATAAGTGATTACATTTCATAGAAATAGAAAGAGGTGGATTGACCCTGGAAAATAGAGTCAACAGGAACCCTGATATTTTCCATGATCCTTGATTTGCCCCTTCTTACCAAAGCAAGCTGGTCTCCATGTTAGAGTCTTTCCACTGAACAACACAGTGGTCAGTGCTATTGGTTGTAAGAGTCTGTCCATTCCCTCCTTCCCAAATATGTGTATGTCCTGACTCTCTCACCCCCCTATTTAATAAACTCCAGTGGCTTTCTATTACATCCAGGAGCAAATGCAAAATGCTCTATTTGGTATTCAAAGCCTTTCATTAACTTAGTCTCCTTCCACCTTTCTGGTCTTCTTATACCTTGCTTCCTAATACACTCTTTAATCCAGTGATACTGGCCTCCATGATGTACCAATGAACAAGATGCTCCATCTCTCCACTCCAGGCATTTTTGCTGGCTGTTTCTCTTGCCTAGAATGCTCTCCTTCCTTCACTTCAATTACCAACCTCCCTGGCCTCCCTTTAAGTCCCAATTAAAATCTCACCTTCTGTAGGAAACCTTCTTCAACTCCTATTAATTCCAGTGCCTTCCCTCTTTTAGTCATTTCTGATTTATCCTATATATAGCTTGCTTTTCATATATTTGTTTACATGTTGTCTCTCCATTAGAATGTAAGCTCCTTGAGGACAGGGGCTGTCTTTTGCCTCTTTTTGTATCCCTGGAGCTCATCGAAATGGCTGGCCCATAATAGGTGCTTAATAAATGTTTATTGATTGATTTGAAGGAAGAATAGCACCAAGTAAGTTCTGAGAAGATTATAGTTTTAATATTGATTGATTTGCTTGCCACCACATTCATTGAT